GGCCTCCTAGCGAGATCTCGAATCTGCGAAGTCACTGTCAAAACTCCAACTGCAGTTTCTACAAATGAAATGGAAAGGCCGAGACTTAAATCCCTATGAAACAGAATAGTAAGACTGAAAGACTCACCCTTCCCAATCTCAACGCTTGCTAGAGAGCTATAATAATAAGGTATCACCGATGTTGGACAAATAGAAGAGAAAAAAGAGAAAAACCAGAAATAAAGTTATACTTCTACAGCTCTTGGGCGTCTGACAGGGAATCAATGCTACCTAATTGGGGAAGGAATGGCTGGTTCACCAGGCAGGGACAGGGACAAGTGGATATCCACATGGCAAAAACATCTCAAGCAAGCTGGGCGCCGGTGGCTCACGCCTGTCATCTTAGCCACTCAGGAGCCTGGGATCTGAGGATCGCGGTTCAAAGCCAGCCCGGGCAGGAAAGTCCATGACTCTTATCTCCAATAAACCACTAGAAAACCGGAAGTGGTGCTGTGGCTCAAGCGACAGAGTGCTTGCCTTGAGCTGAAGAGCCCAGGGACAGCGCCCAGGCCCAGAGTTCAAGCCCCAAGGCCGACAAAAAAAAAAAAAAAGAATTATTTTTATGGAAGTGGAGTTGTAGCTCAAGTAGTAAAGCACTAGCCTTGAACTAAAGAAGCTTAGAGACAGTACCCAGGCCCCAAGTTCAAACCTTAGAACTGGTGGGCATGCACACACACACACACACACACACACACACACACACACACACACACATAATTTCTACACAATGAAGTCTTATCCAAAACAAGCACAAGAGCAAGGCTTTCAGAGTTTGGACTATTTCCATGCACATAATGTGTTATCTCATGATGAAACCTAAATGAATATCGAAGTTTACTTCTGTTTTTCAGACGCCTTACACATACACAGCCCAAAAGGATCTTATGCAGTACCCTCAGTACACCTGTGTTGTAACATCCAGTGTGCATCATGTCTTTGATCAAAAAGATTTAGATATTGGGACATTTTATATTTTTGGATCAGACAATCTGTGAGTGAGATAGATGTTTCAAGGCATCACTAACATCTACACTGGAATCAAAGTTACAAGGAAAAACAGCTCTATAAACCTCCTGCTCCCCAAAATCTGTCTTATCTGCACTGTAATAAGGAATTAGATGGCCAGTGGCCAGCTCCGGCAGCAGGAGGTCACCAAGCAGAGAGGACAGAACCCTGAAACGTGCTGTGACACACACACACAGTACCCCACGGCTCCAGACTCCTTTGTCTGGCGGGCACTCCCCAGGTGAGCAGGCTGGCTGTCAGGCCTGTTCACAGGGGCCAGGTGCTCCTCCCACAGTGCTTGCCCCTGCAGAGCTCTTGAGGGTTGCACCAACAGTCACACGGACAAACAAGCTTGTGGCTTCTCCACGTAGACTGTGTGTGTGCAATCGTATGTGTGTGTATATGCACAGCCAGCATTCATCAGTCCTCATGCTCATCTCAGGCTCTTGTTGGCTGAGGCCCCATTATGCAGACGAGGTGCTAGAGAAGAGACTAAGTGATGCTCTTCTAGCAGAGTGAGGACACAGACGGACTGAAGCAAGTTTAAACCTGTGTGCTGAGATAGGCCAGGGAGATGAACGACGAAGGAAAGACAAGGATTTCTTAAAACAGTTCCATAGTCCTCAGTTCAGCTACCGGTGAGGACGGGCACGTGTGCGCTGGGGTTGGCACAGCATGACACGGATCACAGATGCACACATGAAGACAGAAGCACCTGCACCTCCTGTGGCTCTCAACTACTCAGGGCCTGAGAGCCTTGGGCGGCCACCACACCACAACTCCCCACCACCGAAGCGTCCCACTGGAATAACCGTTTTGTTGAGCTGAGTTAATCAACTTGGTCCTTTTCATTTCTATGCACTCTGTGTGTGTGTGTGGCTTTTTTACTGGTTAATTGGAGATAAGAGTCACACACCAGCACCCCATGTTCTTACTGTTTGTGAGAGCCCCGAGCACAGCAGGTGCGTCCCAAGAAGAGCCTCCACACACTCTTCTCACCACCACACGAGGGTCTGGGCACAGCAGTCCCCTTTCTCCGCCACAGCCTGTCACTAGGACCAGCTGCATCCTCTTGCTAACACCCAGCAGTCCCAACCGCTTGGTACCCCCTAGCTGCTTCTCATTGCAAGGGCAAGTGGGGGTGAAGAGCCTCCAAACAGGCCAGAACAAAGAAATGGAGAGGAAGAAACACAACGTGGGCCCCCACACCCTGCTGAACACACCCTATTGCCATTTTTTGTTTTATAATCCTCAAACCCCTGTATGGACAACGTGGCACCCACAGTCTGATAGAGCACAGCCGGAGTTCTAGGGAGGAGAAGACACAGTGGCCAGCAGAGGGGCGCTGCCAAATCCACCAGGGAATGGGCTCCCCGCGGCCCCCTGGGATCTTCCTCCCTTGGCCACAGTGACGCGGCCGCCGGCCGCCGGCCACCGCAGACCACGCACCCACACAGCCCACTCCCATCCCCATGCCTGCCTGTCCCATCCTGGCTGCCTCCCCCAGCAGCCTCAACTGCAATTTAAATCATCAGGACACGTCTCAACATAATGGCCTCCACAGCATCTACAACCAAAACCACAGCTGGATGGAGGAGGAGTTTGTGCATTTTTGTTTTCTCCAGAAAATTTAACTCATTCCTACTTCTGCTGAGCTTCAACTGTAGAGTGAAGAATTCTTTCCTAACTATGAAACATGTGTTTTTAATCTTGCAAGGAACATTCTGTGTAAAGCTGACCAGTAGACAGGGCTCAGCAGCCTTCTCCACAGTTCCCGCCAACTGCTCCTGGCCAGCCCCATCACAGACAACTGTCCACACCACTGGCCTGGGCGGCTCAACAGGCTGACCTTGACACACGGTACCCACTGTGACCCTGGATCCTGCCACAGACAGTCCTGACCTCAGCTCTGTGTGAGTGCACCCTGACATCCCCCATCTCAGGCCAGCCTATGGCACAGGCTGGCCACTGGAGATCTGGAGACAGGAAAGGGCCCGGCAAACAGTATGTCCACCTAACAGATGACGTTCCCACCTTTTCATCCAGAGTGTGGCGCCTTCTTCAGTCTAAAGACAACTAGAGAAGACAGCCACTAACACCATGGTACGGGGCACCCTCAAACCTCACCTACCCTATGACCCAGGTACTCTTGTAGCCTCTCGGACAAAGGCTCAGGAACAGCCCAACAAGATGGCACTCAGTGAGCCCTAAAGTCAATACACTGAGTACACTGTCTGTGACCTGTAGAATGTGCCATCACAGCTGGCAAGTAAGGTGTGTGTGTCATGCTTGAAAATGACTTCTAGATCACAAGGAAAAAGGGGCGTGGATGCATTTTTAAATATACCATTCAAAAGATGAAGGCCTTTCTTCACTCAAAGAAAGAGCTGAGCTCAAAGAAGTTTATGGCTATGTGAACACATAAAATGTAAATCAACACGTGGTGGCTTATACCTGTAATCCTAACTACTTAGGAGGCTGAGACCTGAGGATCACAGTACAAAGCCAGTTTAGGTAGATAAATCAGACTCTTATCTCCAATAACCAGTAAAAAGCTGCAAGCTGAGGTGTGCCTCAAATGGTAGAGTGCCAGCCTTGAGAAAAAAACCAAGCAAGTACACGAGGCTCTGAGTTCAAGCCCCAGTGCCCCTACACACAAGAATTTGTTTTTAAAAAGCAGGTTTAGGGCTGGGAAGGTGGCTCAGTGGTAGAGCGCTTGCCTTGCATGCTCGAGGCCCTGGGTTCGATTCCTCAGCACCACATAAGCAAAAAGAAAAAAGCCGGAAGTGGCGCTGTGGCTCACGTTGTAGAGCGCTAGCCTTGAGCTGAAGAGCTGAGGGACAGCGCCAGGCCCAGAGTTCAGGCCCCACGACCGGACCAAAAAAAAAAAAAAAGCAGGTTTAACAGATTGCTCATAACCACTTTCCAGTGGCAGTGGCAGTCTCTCACATGCTGTGCCCAACAGGACACCAGGGTCCATCTGCTGTCTGGGATGGAGCTGCTGCACACCCCTAGTACTGAGCATGGACACAGGTTGTGGACGGGCCAGGCCACTGTGTGTTCATTTCAATAGCAGAACTGGGCAAGTGTAAATGCTGACTCAAAATTGCATGATTTGGAGGAATTACTATTCTTTTTTCAAGGCAAGAATGGTATCGAGATTACTGTTCAACAGCTTTTATCTTTGATCTTGGTGTTTTTGAGAGAGGGTCTCACTATATAACCCAAGCTGGCCTCTAAGCCATGGTTCTCCTGCCCTAGCCTCGCCTCCCAAGTGCTGGAATTGATCACAGACGTACACTTCCATGCCCAGCTTATGAACAGCTCTTATCTGTTAAACATACTGACATGTCTGCAAGTGGGATGATGCAATGATGGGTGCTACTCAGAAAGTAGAGAACACATCCCACTGTCCAGCAGTACCACAGGAAGACAGGCTAAAAACGTGTGCACCAAGTATTTCAGCTTCCTTTACAAACCAAAGCTCAGGATGAGAGGGAACCGCATGTGCCACGTGCACGCATGGCCCATGTGCGCACGTGCGTATGTAGGCACACACACACACACACGCCCCCCCTGCAGTGCACATACCAGTGCATGAGCAGTAGACGCAGTACATACCACACACGTACAGCACACACACATGGACAGTATATGCAACAGGAGCACAGGTGTGCAAACACACACTATGGGTGGAAGAGTTACCAAGGCAACTGTGTGTCCAGGAACAAACGCGCATGCTGTGCCGAGCTTATGCCATGACAAACACGGACTTGGAATGAATGGGCAGTGCCCTTCCTGTCCTCTTCCAGCTACAAGGAGCTCAGCAAACCACTGGATGCAGGCAGCTCTCTCCAGAGAGGCTCCCACAAATGAGCAGAGCCTGTCTTCAGACAGGGGAGGGAAGAGAAGATAGAACACTGCCATCGCCCGTTGCAGCGCTGAGGATCCTTTACCTGTGTCAGCTCCTGGGCTTCCCTGTCAGAAAGGAAGGGCTGTCTCCTCTGCAGCTGCAGTGGTCCGCCCTCCTGGTCTCCTGTGGGTTGCTCGTGGTGCATGGAACAGCCCATCAGCCCGGATGCTGGAACGGAAAGTTGAGGTCAGCGGTGACATCTTTCGGAAGGCGCAAACCACACACCAATGTTCAGAACCTCACAAAGGGACATTTATCACCACAGCACTTTGGTTTGGTGGGGTGTGTCCGTGTGCTCATTATGGGTCTCTGTCCCTGGCTCCCACAAATCTGAATACCCCACCCTAGGGACTTCATCTAGCCTTGGCCCCACATCATTGAAGTTTGCAATACCATAAACACCTAGTGGCTAGTTCTGTAACTATCTCTCCAAAGTAAAGCTCTTTTAGTCAAGAGTGGTTGGGAGCTTTTTTTTTTTTTAAAGAAAAAACTAAACGTGGTGAACATAAAACACAAGAACCGTTGAACCATGGTGAAATGTACATAAGAAACATCACCAGGAAACTGTGGGGACAGCTGAGCTATCCCACAGAACACTGTGGTTCCAGAGAGCACAGGAAACGGCCGACAAACGGAGCCAAGCAGAGCGGTGTGTACAGCTGCCCCGAGGTGGGGTGAGTCAGAGCCGCTCTGTGCTTAGGCAGGGCTCGGGGCAGCGGGCAGCTCCATGGCTTGGGAATGTACACGAGCCACCAGGTTCCCTGAACACCTGCACACCGTGTACGCACACATCTCACACCCCATGCCGAGCAGCTGACTGAACGGTGAAGGGGAGCCATTCAGCATGGCCCCTGTGGCTGCCCCAGTCCAACTGCAACTCCAGCACTTCCTGGCTCAGATAAGGGCTGCAATTAAAGTCTGATCTTTGCTCTTCTCTGTAACACAGGCCACCTCAGATACAGAGCAACAGCCAAGGGCATATATTAGACTAGGAAGAAAGAGAAAGGGCACTGGGTTGATAACGCGCATCTCTGGGCAGCCAGCAGGTATCCTATATGGTTGCCTCACAGCTGGATGAGATACAGCAGCTTAAAGGCCAATGCTGAACACGTAAGAACAGGAATAGGAAGCACACTTGTGTGTAGAGGTAGAGGGGGGTAAAGTAGGGAGGAAGGCTCGGAACCTGAAGACCAGGAACTAAATAGGTGGGCCCTCATGATATGACAGCCAGGTACTCCATTCCTCCCTAGGAAAGATCACAAGCCTCAACACACACACACACACACACACACACATACACACTCTCTCTCTCTCTCTCTCTCTCTCTCTCTCTCTCACTTCTAGTCTGACCATCTTATATATATTGGTGCCGGGCCTGGGCTTGAACTCGGCCTGGGTGTTGTCCCTGAGTTTATTTTGCTCGAGGCTAGTGCTCTACCACTTGAGCCATAGCTCCACTTCTGGCTTTTTGGTGGTTAGCTGGAGATAAGAGTCTCAACAGACTTTCCTGCTCAGGTTGGTTTGAACCATGACCCTCAGATCTTAGCCTCCTGAGTAGCTAGGATTAGAGGAGTGAGCCAGTGGTGCTAGGTTCTCCCAGTAATCTTTACAAGGTAACTTCCCAAGTGTGAGGCTGAGCAGGGAAGTGACCTCACCCACCCAGGAGGAATAAAGGTGTGGCAAGACGGGCAGGCGGGCGGGTGGGGTAGATGCGCCAAGGCTGGTGGGAGCCACTTGGGAAGGAGACCTCATCAATTTGACCCCCACCCTACACAGCTCAGCATCTGGACCCAATCACACACAACAGCATTAACTTAGGATGTATCCTTGGGATGGCTGCCTTCTTATTCCATTCCATTCTTTTCTTTTTTTGTAGGTCCAATATCAGGACTCAAACTCAAGTACCTGACTTTCACTCACTGGCTAGTGCTCTACCAACTGGCTACAACTCCAACTCCTTATTCCATTCTTAAAAACATATCTAGTCGGGGCTGGGAAGGTGGCTCAGTGGTAGAGCACTTGCCTTGCATGCTCGAGGCCCTGGGTTCGATTCCTCAGCACCACATAAGAAAAAAGCCGGAAGTGGCGCTGTGGCTCAAGTGGTAGAGCGCTAGCCTTGAGCTGAAGAGCTGAGGGGCAGCGCCCAGGCCCAGAGTTCAGGCCCCA